TTCCCACATGGCTGACCATGGTTCAAGTCTTGGACCTGGCAGCTTGCTTTCTCACTTTCTCTTTCTCTCTGTGTCTCTCTCTGGTCAAAATAAAAACTAAGTAAATGAATAAATAAAATTCAAAATAATTATTTTTAAAAAATAAAGTGGCACAGGGAGGGCCACTTTTAACAAAAAAAAAAAAGAAAAAGAAAAGAAAATGGAGTCCTGCTTCTCGGGGCTGCAGTGAGAACTGAAAGCGGAAACGCACAGGCCTGACCTCGGCTGGCAGTGAGGAGAGCTCGGGGCACTCCGATTACTGTCGCTGTCCTGCCCTCAGCAGCATAGCGCTGGCTTTCTGTCACGGCTTCATCCTTCCCCAGGTCCTAAGACTCTTCCTTTTTCTTAAAATTTAGGTGGACAAGGCCAGCTAGTGGTGTGGTGGTTAAGACAGCGCGTCCCACATGGCAGACTACTTGGTTCAAGTCCGGACGCAGCAGCTTGGAAAACACGCCTGGCTCGAGTGTTTGCACAGATCCAGGATCCTGAAGGATGAAATGGAGGAGAAGGGATTGTGGCATGATTGTGCCCCATAGTAGGCATGCGCTCTCTCTCTCCCCAGTAAGCACACAGATTTCTAGGAAAGTTAAAAAAAAAAATTAGATGGATAAAGGTGGGCATTGTAGGGTTAATTTGAACCTTTCAAATGATGATTAGCTATTTATTAAAAGTTTCTTCACTGGGGCCAGCAGGTGGCATGGTGGTTAAGGTGCTGGTCTCCCACGTGACCAACCACAGTTCAAGTCCTAGACGTGGTGGCTTGAGAAATCACTTTCTCTCTCTCTCTCTCTCTGGTCAAATTAATAATAATAATAATAATGATAAATAAAATTAAATATTTTTTAAAAGTTTCTTTGAGGTCTAAAATTAGCATTGAATTTGAATACTCACCCTACTATTATTCTATTTTCTGTTTTGTTTTTCTTGCGTGATTTGCAAATGTCAGGGTTGTGGGTGTGAAATCTGTCTGACTGGGGGGCTGTCGTACATGTGACAGTTAACAACAGTGGGTATTAAAAGAAAGCATATGGGATAATACATTATTGATGATGTTTTTGCTGGAGTGGATTTATAAATAATACATGTTCGAAGGGCTATTTCCTTTACATTTCTTTACTAAAGAGTTTTCTCATTTTGAGTTTAAAGAGAACTGACAGTTGGAGAAAGGTCAACAAAATGTTCATTCGTGCAGCTTCTATGCCCCAAACCCCTCAAACTTCCGAGAACAGAGCCAGCTTTGTACGGCCGCACCGCACCGTCTCCCTTAATTCTAGAGTAGGCCGAGGAAATGGATTTAATTTAGCAAATGAGGTAAAAGCTTTAAATTAGTTTTATAATAAAAGTTCTATAATCAACACTATCACCTTTTTCCCCCCTCAGAAAACTTCCAAATGGAAGTTTCAATGAATTAAAAACAAACAAACCCAACAATTATTCTCTGACTTTCCCAACACATTAGCACCTTCAAATGCATTATTTTAAGGAAGGATGGGGACAGAGCAACAGGGCACAAACCCTGGGGAAAACTATGAAATCGGCTGTGGTCACCACCACCCCCAACTGGAGAGGGGTCCTCCGTGGGTCTGTGTCGTTTGATGTGTGTGTGTGTGTGTGTTGGGGGGTCAGGTTCTACAGCGTTCATCGGATCAGTGTCCTTGAAAGAGGTTAGGAGGGAATCAAAGGGAAAAGAAGTCGAGCATTGAACAGACACAGAAATGGAAAGTGTTCGGCTGAGCTAATGGGCTAATATCTTTGGCTGGACCCATATGCACTGGATTCATGCTGGGAGAGCCATTTTGTATGCTGGGAAGATGTACAATGATTGAATGTAAAAAAAAAAATGGTTAGGGTCCACAGCCTTTCCCCTGTTTCCTTCTAGAACGAGGCACGAGGGGGTGAGGAGAGCGAGAGAGGAAGGAGGGGAGGAAAGACCAAGGTGTTTCCAACGTCAACTAACCTCTCCCTGCCCAGGGCCACACGAACCTCTTCTACTTCCCTTCACCTCTTCCAGTTCCCTAAACTGTGGACAACTCTCTCAGCTTCTGGGTGGTTCAACAGTGTGGCTGAATCAAGGACGTGAAACCGTACTCAGCAACATCAGGAAAAGATATCATTCCTGTAATCCTTTTGTTTCTTGAATTACATTAAAAAAATTTTTTTTTAAAGGGACCAGCAGATGGTGTAATAGTTACGTTGCTGGACTCCCATGTAGTTCATTGTGGTACAAGCCCTGAATCCAGCAGCTTAAGCTCACACTGGGAGCATGTGCATGCGTGCCCAAGATCCCGATAGGAGAATGGAGAAGGGAGAGCAGCATGGCCATCCTCCCTGGGGGGTGATTTCTCACTTTCCGCCTCTCTGTCTCTGTCGTTCCAGCAAGCACATGTGCCTTATAGCAAAAATCTCTCTTGAAGAAAAAAAAATTTTTTTGAATAGGTGCTTATTTTTCCCCTGGTATATTCATTTTTAATTTCTGTCTGCAATTTTCAAAAAGAGTTTGAAGCAGGATATGAGCCTGTAATTCAAAGATAAAATTCAAGAATTTTTCTGATGATGGGGCATAGTTTTTTTTTTTTTTTTTGAGAAGTTTTTGCTATAGGGCACTTGCACTCGTGCAAACAGCAAAACATGGGGGATGGCCACGCCACAATCCCTTTTCTTCCACTCTCCTCTCGGGATCTTGGGCACGCACGTATATGTGCCCGGCGTAAGTTTAAGCCACTGGGTCCGGGACTCAAACCACGGTCAACTACATGGGAGTCTAGCAACATAGCCATTACACCAACTGCTGGTCTCAGATGATGGGGCATGATTTAAATGTTTTCTTTAGATAAAGTTTTTTTGTTTGTTTATTTTGCTATAGGGCATGTGTGCTCACCAGACAGACAGACAGAGAGAGAAAGTGAGAAGTCACCCACGAAGGAGATGACCACACTGTAATTCCCTCTTCTCCATCTCCTCTTAGGATTTCGGGCATGCACACACATGCATCCGGCGTGTTTTCCAAGCCGCCAGGTCTAGGACTCGAACCGCACACTTGGGCACATGGAATCCAGCTGCTTTAACCACTACACCATCTGGCTGGCCCAGAATGTATTTCCTTTATAAGCATTTAGAATATATCCTTCTTACAAGTTCAGCCCTAGGAGTCACTTCCCTATGTTGCCTATATGTGGTAGCAAGTCAGTGAGTGAAAAGTACATGCAAAATCTGGAAGGGAGAGAGAAAGTGATCTTACTGAATTTACTCAC